TGCAAGAAGCTAGTAATTTTGGTAAATTCTCTATAGTGTCGGTAATTTACTACTTGAACTTGTATCATTTGAAAGGATTGGATAACTTGTTAATTTAATGGAACGTTGGTAAGTTTCTTAGAATATCGATATTTTACCAGAATGTTAAAGAAGTTGGTGATTTACTAATTTATAGAGATGTCGGTACTTTCCTTGTGACATTCTACTTACTACAGTTGTAAAGTTTGCACAGTTGCTAACTTATTAATTGTATGAGTGTCGGTAAATTTTTTGTTAATTGGTAATTTACTAACTACTTTAGTAACAATTCGAAGTTGATAAGTTACTAATTTATTGAAATGAGTGTTGATAGTTTATTTATGTACTTGCAAAATTTCAGAAAAGTTGGTAATTTTCTCATTCACTGGAACGTTGGTTAATTACAAAAGTGCTGTCAATATATTCGGGTTACTTGACATTTCGGTTACCAATTGTACTTTTTTCACCAACATTATTAAAAACTTACGGGCAATTTCATAAATCTACCAACTACAGAAAATTTTCCCGCTTTTCCCGTGACTGGACCCTAGACTCGTATCTTATAACAGGGGTGTGCAAAAGAACCAGCAACCGATCGAACCGGCCAGTTTTGGGTAGTTCCCATGGGAACCAGTCCAGTTCTTAGTTCCACGTGTGGAACCACCTTCCCGGATCACCCGGACCAGACCAGTACACATATTATATGTTTTAATTTTTATGTTTACTCCATTTTCATGCGTCCAAAAAGGGTACAGTTTTTTTCCAAAACAACATAATTAACAAAGAAAGAATGCACCATAGAAGTGCACGAGAAGCAGAACAAGCTGGAGAAAAGTGGAGACCCATTGATGTAGAACAGTTAGCCTGTGATTATCTTGAACAATGTGATCTCCGTAATCATCGGAAATCTCGGCAGTTTTTCTGATTTTGGGGAAAACAACCATTCAAGCAGTTTCCTATATTATCATTTAGGCGCTTTCCTATATTATCGTTAGGCGAGTTTCCTATATTACCGAAAAGGCGCTTTCCTATATTATCATTTAGGCGCTTCCTATATTACCATTTAGGCGCTTTCTTTAATTATTCGGTTTCCATTAGTATTAGGAGTCCTATCTCTATATATAAGATGTCCGTCTTGTAATCAAGAGCACGAGTATTATTGAATAAAAATTTCGAGTTTTTTGGAGTTGTTCCAAATTTACGCTTCTCTCGCGTCATTTGGTATCGTAGTAGGTTTCTCTGTGACGATGGTGAATAACGTGAATGTCAATCTCCCCGCCGCTGAGGGCCGTGAGAACAAGCCTATTACGCGGCCGAGTTCAATCGGTTCGTGGATCAAACCGATCGGAGGTTTCAAGAGATCCTTGATGCCATCCAGCGTTTGTCCACAAACCATGCGCCCGGCGTTCTTCCAGCCGAGCGAATTCCGTCGTTCGTGATCCCGAAGATGCTATGGGGCGTGGAGGAATTCCCGACATAGGCGTCAAGACTATGTCGAGGATACGGAAGACGAAGACGATGATTTCCGGGAGATGCAGATTCGTGGTGGTCGCCGTACTGAGGGGACTCCGGAGGAGCATGTTCGTGGGAATCGACATCAGGGAGGATATCGACGAGATCCTGAGCAATATCAACTAAAGGTAGATCTCCCTACTTTCAATGGGAATTTGGATATTGAAGATTTCCTTGATTGGCTTTGGGAGGTCGAGAAATTCTTTGACGCTATGGATATTGACGAGGATCGCCAAGTGAAACTTGTGGCGTACAAGTTGAAGGGTGGCGCTTCAGCTTGGTGGGAACAAACTCAATTGATGCGACGTCGACAAGGCAAGGCTCCTATTCGATCTTGGGGTCAGATGAAACAGAAGTTGAAGAAGAGGTTCCTCCCAACGGACTATGAGCAACTGTTATTTCAGCAATTCCAAAATTGCTGACAATCGAATAGATCGGTCCAAGCTTATACGGAAGAGTTCCTTTGACTCTCCGCTCGTAATAACCTGGATGAGTCTGAGGCACAACAAACTGCTAGGTACATTAATGGTTTGCGACTTAATATTCGGGATCGGGTTTCTTTGCATCGACTATTCTCTCGTCGAAGACGCCCGGATATGGCGCGAAAAATTGAGGTGCAATTGGAGAGGACTAGCCTTAGTACTCGTGGTAGCAATTATTCGGGTCGTGGGTCATTCGGGAAAGGAAGACAGCCTGATATTGCAAGTTCTAGTCAACAAACACCTTATTCGAGCCGAGTTCCAGGGGGTACTAGTGGGACGCCTAAGGAAGCAGTCGCAACAAACAATCGCACTCCCAATTATAATACCCAGAATCCATATGCCAAGCCCCAACCGATCAGGTGATACAAGTGTAATGAGTTAGGCCATCGTTCCAGCGATTGTCCTCGTCGTAGAATGGCCAATATCGTTGAACATGACGAAGATGTGTATGAGGAAGATTGGGAAAAGGAAGAAGAAGTGGGAGTGGAAGATGAAGTGGGTGAGCAAGTTGATTGTGTAGTGCGTCGTCTATTGCTTACTCCGCGGACGAGAAGATACCCAGCGGAATCGGCCTTTTCCGCTCATTTATCTTGTCAACAACAAAGTATGCGATATCATTATTGACAGCGGAAGTTGCGAGAACATAGTGTCAAAGGCCTTGGTGGATCACTTGCAACTAAAGACGGAGCCGCATCCCGCGCCCTACACGATCGGGTGGATACGCAAGGGAGCAGAACTTAAGGTAAACCAATTATGCCGTTTGCCTATTTCAATCGGAAAATCATATCAAGATACTATTGTCTGTGATGTTGTGGAGATGGATGCGTGTCATGTTTTACTGGATCGACCATGGCAATATGATGTTGATGCTATACACCGAGCTAGGGAAAATACGTATTCTTTTGTGTGGAAAAGGACTAAAATTACTTTGAGACCGAAGAGTAATTCAAAGTATAAGGAGGATGCTGACAAACGGCGATGTTCGAAAATTTTTGAGGTAGGCGATGAGGTAATGGTTTTCCGAAAGGAGCGTTTTCTGTAGGTACCTATAATAAACTGAAGCACAAGAAGATTGGTCCTTGCCGCATCCTGAAGAAGATCAACGACAATGCCTATATAGTTGAACTTCCGGGTGATCTCAACATTTCCCCTACATTTAATGTGGCAGACTTATTTGAGTATCATGCTTCTGATACACCCCTCTATCTGATCATAACTCGAGGCGAGTTTTTCCGAAGAGGAGGGAATGATGTAGAACGCTTAGCCTGTGATTATCTTGAACAATGTGATCGCCGTAATCATTGGAAATCTCGGCAGTTTTTCGATTTTGGGGAAAACAACCATTCAAGCGTTTCCTATATTATCATTTAGGCAGTTTCCTATATTATCAGTTAGGCAGTTTCCTATATTACCAGTAAGACAGTTTCCTATATTACCATATTGGCAGTTTCTTTAATTATTCGGTTTTCATTAGTATTAGGAGTCCTATCTCTATATATAAGATGTCCGTCTTGTAATCAAGAGCACAATATTATTGAATAAAAATTTCGAGTTTTTTGGAGTTGTTCCAAATTTACGCTTCTCTCTGCGTCACCCATTCAGACTCCTAAGGATGAAATCCTGCACTTTATTCCTACTTCTTCCGAGCATATTTCCACAGAATGCAGTCTGGTACAGACTTCCAAACATTCACTAAACAATCTCATGCCAGCATTTGTTATCGAGATTCAAACTACAGTAAAATCCTTCCACACTCATCTTCATTTTAGATCAGACTCAGCTTCTTCTTTTGCTTCTCGATTAGCCCAAAACAAACCACGAGAACAAGCGAGGATTCCCTCAAACTGAAATGCGAATCAGAACCCCATACGCACAAGCGAGGACATGGCCAGTACCACTAACCCACCTAGGAATCGGACCGGACCTGGTCTAGTTCTTGGGTGGGTTCATGAACCAGTGGACTATCCCGATTCTAATTTTGTCGAACCGGCCCAAGAACCACTCACCTTGGAACTGATCACACCTACCCTATAATGTCGTTAATTATAGGTTCGGCAAGGTCCTAAATTCCAAAATTGCTCTCAATCCATTAGAGGAAGCTAATATAGGGATGGTCCATAGACTACACCCTTTCAGCTTAAGATTTCTCACTAGTCTGAAAAATTACAAAGCATGCTTATATGATTATAGCTCGATTCATTGAATCGGATATGGAACACAATTTGCAGCATTTGCGTCTTGTGGAAGATTGATAATCAAGAAAGGAGAAAGGCCAGTTTAGTCGTTCCTTTGATTTATTTTAAATGATTCTAAAGATTGAAGTGTCGACACTAAGGGGTGTTATTTTAAATTCAGTTTTTCCTCGTTTCTAAACGAAATTTGCTTTTAACTTTCAATTGATGCTCATAATCAATCAAGACATAAATAATGACAATAGTTGCGTGTTTTATAACTTGATTATGGTCGAAATCATGCTTGATTTTATGGATATTTGGCATCTAGATGCCACCTAATAGCAAGGTAATGCCTTGATTATGTTTGAAATCATGCTTTATTTCGTGAGAAGTTTTTAGAAATCCTACCATCCAGATACCACCATACCCATAATCAAATCATACACCTAACAAACAACAATGGCCGCAAGTTTGCTTTTTTATCTTTTGTGGTGATGGCGTGGTGTTGCCGTTTGAGGAGAGAGGAGAGTCAGCGAGAAAGAACTACTTTGCTTTATCCATCGTCATGGTAGGGTGGCGCTGCCATTGAGGAGAGATTAGAGGCGGTGAGAAAGAGTAAGAGCCGAGAAATCGAAAGAGACTGAGAAGCGCATCATCGGGAGTAACCGGGGCATTGATGAGGAATAGGTATTTAACTACAAATCACTTCACAAGTCATACGTATGGACTTGGGGATATTACAACTATGGAGGAAAGCCTCATACTGCAAGCCTTCTCAACGGTTAGGCGAATAGATATCGATGCTTGACCAGTGTTGAGCAGATAAAATCAAGATCAATACATCAAATATAAGGAAGCAATAATAATACAATATACAAGGGTACAAGATTGATATAATGTCCTATCCTCGGATAAGCATAGTGGGTACACAGCATTATCACTGATATAATAAGCAAGGATGAGATTAACATTTATAAAAGGACCTCAAACACTGGCATTATCACTCTAGTTTGGCATACTAATCAGTACTCTCGTAAAAGTTAAAAGAGATCCGCGAGATTGATACAGCCGCTTGGAGAATATGGCATAGAGCAATGTCCGTCACTAGGTTCGTCAACATGCCGATGATCGTCATGAGACAAACGTTGCTCTTTGCTCATTTGAGGCTGCTGATCAGGAATAGGCACATTCTGGTCTGGTAGATTTAAATTCGACATCTCGTTCGGATACGAGAATTCAACGGTAACTTCAGGAGATGCCTGAGCGACAAAAAGGAAAAAACGTAGGAACAATCAGTACTAGAGCTTTAGTATAGTAAGTTGTATCTCTAGATCATATGTTCTCACCTGTGCACTAATTTCTTGTGTTCCTTCGTTTTGGGAATCACAGAGATTGCTAGGGCCGCTTAAATCGGTTGAAGTACTCGCTGTTGCAGACTTTGCTTTCTTACTTTTTCTGTTTATTATGTGACAGAGAACCAATGCCGTCTACATAGACAAAATGATACCAGGGATGAGTTTCAGGCTTACAATGACGGGAACTCCCTTGTTGCACGGAAGTAGTTTATGCATGAGATACATCGTGCGTCATTTATCAAATCTGAAGGAATTTTTGTTTCAAGAACAAATTGCCCCCTCTGCTGCTGCAGAATCACTCTACTTTTGGCAGCATTACCTTCAGTAGTCACGGAACTAAAACATCAGTCATGAATCTATCACTTAAAATGATTATCTGTAAGTTTTCTTTCTCAATCTTCCTCACGAAATTCTACAAAATACTGTAGGAAAGGTTCTGACTCACGGATGCTACTGTTCGAAGTTCAACTGGACTTAAAGGTAAATCACGATTAAATAATCATGGGACAGAGGGAGGAACTAGAAAATCATGAACTCAGAAAGCCAGAAACATCAAGCAGCTGAATAAGGAACATATGTAGAGAAATGATGTTATCAATTTTACCTGCACTTGTAACCATGTTATAGATGCTCAATTAGGGGAAGCAAAAGAAGAGAAGCCGAGTACCGGGTCCGAAATTTCACTATCGAAAACATTCGAGTTTAGGTGATATTCGTGTATGCCCAAGTTGGTCCTATGTGCATTTTTTTGTCGACCTTTGTGGTAAACCAAGCTCCTCCTGAGCCCTATCTCTTCACCGGTGTCTGATGCTTGTATAACACGTTTGGTACTTGTCTCTTTCCAAAATCCGCACGCGGTCTTCCTCTTACGAACACGGGGACAAAAGAAGAAACACTCGCTTCCATCCGACGGTATACATGACAATTCTACAACCAAAGATCAGTTAAATGTTAATTCACTAAGGTCTTATAGATAACTCTCGATCACCATCAAACCATAAGAAATAGAGAGAGAGAACACCAAGGACCAAATATTAGTTACCATTGTATCGTGTAAATAACTCCGGAGGCTCCCAGTCGTAGATGTATAGCTCAGGAATTATGCAAGTAGTTCCCATTTCTCCTCTGAGCTTTTTTGTCAAGTGATGAGCGACGAGCTCGTCCTCCGTCGGTTTGAACCTGAGTCCCACCGGCCACGCCTCCTTCGATTCTGCCATGATATACACTTGCTATCTCACATTCACTTCTGCAGTAGAAAAAGAGGAGAAGTGGAGGGGATGGGACTTGTGAAGTGAGCAGAGGAATAGAAGGAAAACAGAGGAAACAGAGTTCACTATGGACTTGGCTTTGCCTGAGAGTGTGGACTGCAAACACTTCCAAGTGGGTCAATTTATAAGCACAAAAAAAGAGTTATTTTCTTGACCCTTGTTTGAGAAGGCAAACTACTGTTCAAGTGGATCCCACCTCAAGCTCAAGACGACGACGTTTTCACTACGAGCAGCTTCTTCGAATTCCACTACGCGCATTTAACTTGGTTAATAGGACCCATCTGGTTGTTTTAGCCAATCAGAGCATATGACAGATAGCTTCATAACCTAAAATATGCAGGAGTAAGCACATGATGTTATGAAGTTTAGCAGTGTTTCTGCAGGGAAGAAGACTCTAGAATTTCATGTATGTAGCCATGGAGATCATGATATGAAGTTGTCTGAAGTGTTTCCTCAGTGAAGAAGATTCTAGAATTCTAAATAACATGCATAGTGGGAGCAATGATGTTGAAAGTGAAAGAGATAAGAAGATTCTCATTTGTACAATGCAAAAGCACAATCGATTTCTCTTTATATATTATATGCATATTACTTGGGTGCGAACTATGTGGGAAAAAAAAATTAAAGGGCAGACTCGTCTTCTTTAGCAAAACTTAGATGCATGTTCTTGACTAAAAAGTTCAGTATCTTATTCGTATTTAGAACGTTTATCAGTGCAAATCTGTTCTATAAAGTCGCCATTGGATGTGATATAAGGGCAATTGCTTAGTTACGTAACTAATTCTTATGTACACATCTCACCTCTCCAACGATTGCCATAAGAAAATCTTGTTCATTATTGGTTGTTTTTAATTATTTCTGATTCTACCGGACATTTAATTACCAACCTTGTATTAACTCGTAGGCGTTGTTCAAAGGAATTTATTAGTTACTTTTATAGTAGAGTAGGTAAATTTGGCATCGAGGTAATAAACTTTGGATTTGATATATTTTCATCAATCATAGTAGATTACATTGTGCCTGTGAAATTATAAAAGGATTGATAATTTTCCAGTTTCTTTTGGCTCCTCTCTCTTATCTATTGTACATGGCTGCACACACACATGTATATGTATAAAGATATGTATATGTATATTTTGTAAAATGGAATTTTATTAAGCGTAAAATGGAACTTCTCTTGTACCATTAATCTTAGGGCAAAAGCCACCAAAAAAACTAAACTATGCCCATTGTGACACATTTACCCTAAAAAAATTTTTGTGACAAAAAAAATCCTTAACTTGTACCCGTGTGACACATTTATCCTCCGTAAAAATTTTGTCATTAAGAACCGTTAAAAATCTACTTATATTGATGCTAGAAAGTGAACAATGTTGACATGGTGCCCACATGACTTAAGTGAAATAAAAACAACATTGTTTTGACAGAAAAATCATCTAACGAAACCTTGACGGAGGATAATGTATCACATAGATACAAGTTTTGGGTTTTTTTATATCACAAGAAAAAGTTTAGGGTAAATGTGTCACGGTGGGCATAATTTGGGATTTCTGATGTCACAAAAAAAAGTTAAGGGTAAATATGTCATAGTGAGCATAGTTTAGGGCTTTTTGTGGCTTTTTGCCTTAATCTTATCTCCTCAAATAATTTGCAACCTCAATGTCATTAACATCACGCCCGAACCCCAACAAGCTCGCGACATCCTTTGCTCCGGTCGGGAAATGATGCGACGTCCCAGGAACGTCGCCGACCCAACCCAAACATCGTGAGCCACATGCGGAAGCGAATAACAAAACCCGGACAAATAATGACGACAACAGTGGCAGTAGAACAATGGAACAATCCAAAGCAACCACATATTCATACAACACCAAATATACAAACATCATATTACGTACATAAATACGGACTAACATCCTCAAATACCGTTTAAACAAAAGTTCGGGGTTTGGTTATCTTAACTTCACTATCGGATAACCCAAGTTATACAACCCCTAAAAACACCTTAGGAAAAACCTAAAGGGGCCGCCCACCTCTAGTCCCTTACAATCTACGGCTTGAATCTCTAGAACTCACCCCGCTCCACCGGGCACCAACGAGTAGCTCCCCGACTTCCAAAAAAGAAAAGGCGCACTTCTGGGTTTAGGGCCGGGGGTCTGAAAGTGGCGGTTATACAACCGTGAGACGAATCTCAATAAGTGTACAACTCAACCCCACGTGGCACTCACGTACCGCCGAGACGAAAACACACATAACACACAACGATCGGCCAAACTAACAATCACATGCGACCCTACCTCGAATCCATCACGCACGTTCCTACACGTTAGTCAACCACAGCAGATACCACAAAAATACATCACGGCTGCGCGTGCCCCGATTATAGAGCAAAACCCACTTGGGCACGTCCCATACCATGCATAGCAGTTTTTACCCCATAATCGAGCATCACATCACGCGATACAAACACATTCGCATGCTACTCACACCATGCGTCACTTTCCACAATCCTCTCGCTTGTAATGCACATTCACATGTCCACGCCACCACACCTCACAGCCACACACACGGCATAGCACCACATCACATTCGGCCCAAGCACAAACTAGATATTCATTTCATGAATCCCGGGAAAAGGATCGAAAATTCAGACTGTTACAATTACTCACTTCAAAATATTGACTAAATTATCAATAGTATGCTTATGACTTGCTTAATTATTGGACAAATAATTAGCACTTTTGGTGAAATTTTGCCTTTACAATACGCACTACACAGGTGAAGTACATGACGTACTTATTCTTCTGCATGTATATAAATTCGTCATGGTAAATGACTAACCATACTTGTAAAACTTGAAAGAAGTTGGTGACTTACTCATATAATGAGATGTTGGTAATTTCCTTATAGGAATGATATTTTACTAACCATGCATGTAAACTTTCAAAGAAGTTGGCGTAATCAATTGGGATGTTAATAAATCCCTTAAAGTGTTTGTAATTTTTTAACCACACTTGAAAAATGTAAAAGAAGTTGGTATTTACTAATTCATTAACAACAGAGCCATGATACTATTTTTTAACTGGGATGTTTGGTAAATTCGTTACAAGGTTGGTATTTTACTAACCACATTCAAAAATTTGCAAGAAGCTGGTAATTTTGGTAAATTCTCTATAGTGTTGGTAATTTACCACTTGAACTTGTAACATATCAAAGGACTGGATAACTTGTTCATTTAATGGAACATTGGTAAGTTTCTTATAATATCGATATTTTACTAGAATGTCAAAGAAGTTGGTGATTTACTAATTTATAGAGATGTTGATAATTTCCTTGTACTGTAGATATTTTACTAACTACAGTTGTCAAATTTACGAGAAGTTGCTAACTTAAAAATTATATGAATGTTAGTAAATTTTTTGTTAATCAGTACCTTACTAACTACACTAGTAACAATTCAAAGTTGATAAGTTACTAACTTATTGAAATGTTGGTAAATTATTACAGTGTTGATAGTTTACTTATCATACTAGTAAAATTAGTAATTTACTAATTCGTTGGAGCCTTAGTAAATTTCTGATAGTGCTGGTCATATGCAAACTGGTTACTTGACAATCGAGTTACCGGCTATACTTTTTTCACCAATGTTACTATAATTTTATAGCAATTTCATAAATCTACCGACTACGGAAAATTTAGCATCTTTTCCTGTGACTGGACCCGAGACTCGGACCGTATAATGTGGCTAATTATAGGTTCGGCAAGGTCCTACGTTCCAAAATAGTCCTCCATCAATTAGAGGAAGCTGAAATAGGGATGGTCCATAGACTTCTTAAGATTTCTCACAAGTCGAAACATTACAAAGCATGCTAATATCATGTAAGTCGATTCATTGAATCGGATATTGAACTCAATTCACAGCATTTGTGTCTTGTGGAAGATTGATAATCAAGAAAGGAGAAAGGTCGGTTTAGTCAATAACTAGCGTAGGGTAAATTTGTCACGGTGTACCAGTTTGGGGTTTTTGGTGATCAAAAAAATAATTTGAGATAATTTGTCACAGGTATATCAGTTTGGGGTTTTTCATGGTATTAACCCAAAAAATAAAACAAATCACAAAATTAAAAATATTAAAAGTGACATGTTTATTATTCACTTAAGCTTATTAGGTAATCCATTTATTATTCATTTAAGACCCATTAAGTTGTTAGTAACCCATTTAAGACCCACTTAAGCATGTTTTTAAGACTTAAGGTAACCAAATTATGACTCACACCATTAAATATGAGTTCAAACATGGGTTCTAGACCCATTTTGCCACCTCTATATTCAATCGCCGATGTGATATAAGTACAAATGTTTAGTTACATAACTAATGCGCATGTACACATGTCGTCTTACTAACTATCATTGACATAAAAGTTTGTTCATTAAGACTTAAGGTAACCCAATTATGACTCACACCATTAAATATAAGTTAAAATATGGATTCTAGACCCATTTTGCCACCTCTATATTCATTTGCGGGAAAATTACCAAAAAAGTCCTAAACCTTTTGCAATTGTGCCAATTCAGTCCTAAACCTTTTTTTTTTGCCATTTCAGTCCTAAACCTTTTACAATTGTGCCAATTCAGTCCATCCGGCCACTTTTGGCCGGCCGGCACTGACGTGGACGCTGGCCAACTGACGTGGCATTATTTTAATATTTTTTTTTCCGTTTTTTTTTCCTTCTTCCCCCTGGTCGAACTGGTCAGGGGGAGGCTCGCTGGCGAGGTGACCTCGTCGGCCATGCCAAGGCCGACCTCGCTGGCCATGGGCGAGGTCGAGCTCGCCGACCATGGCGACGGCGAGGCCTCGCCCGCCTGGCGAGACCTCGCCGTCGCCGGCGAGCTCGGCCTCGCCCATGGCCGGCGAGCTCGACCTCGCCCGGTGACGGCAAGGTCTCGCCGGATTTGGGCGAGGCCTCGCCGTCGCCATGGCCCATGGCCGGCGAGCTCAACCTCGCCATGGCCGGGCGAGGTCGACCTCGCCCAAGGCCGGCGAGGTCACCTCGCCGGCGAGGAGCCTCCCCATGGCCGGTTCGCCAGGGGAAGAAGGAAAAAAATATTAAAATAATGCCACGTCGGTCGGCCGGCGATCCCGGCCAGGGGGAAGAAGGAAAAAAAATATTAAAATAATGCCACGTCTGTCGGCCGGCGTTCACGTTAGCACCGGCTGGTCAAAAGTGGCCGGATGGACTGAATTGGCATAATTGTAAAAGGTTTAGGACTGAAATGGCAAAAAAAAAGGTTTAGGACTGAATTGGCACAATTTGAAAAGGTTTAGGACTTTTTTGGTAATTTTCCCTTCATTTGCCGATGTGATATAAGTGCAAATGTTTAGTTACATAACTAATGCGCATGTACACATGTTGTCTTTCCAACTATCATTGATATAAAAGTTTGTACATTATAGATGGGTTTGATAATTTACCGATTCTACCCAACATTTGGTTACCAATTTTATATTAATTAGTAGGTGTTGTATGAAGGAACATATATCAACGTGGGTAAATTTGACATCGAGGTAATAAACTTTAGATATTACATATTTCCATAAATCATAGTTGATTAGATTATGCCTTTAAAGTTAGAAGAGGATTGATAAATGTTCAAAAATTTTTATTATATCCATATGTGTATCGATTCAAATTAAAAATATATACGTCGAGTTTGAGCCCGTTAAACGAAAACTAGGCTGAAAATAAAGTTTGCAAAAGCCCAAAAGTTCGAGTTATATTCGTGTTTGACATAATTCTATCGTTCTATACCAAAAAAGTACAGGATTTTGTTGGTTTTGGGCCCGAAATTCTAGTGCCGAACTCCACCAACGGCAAGATGGAGACTTGATTACACGGATTTCAAAACATTTATGACTTGATTACACTTTTTTTAATATTTAGGACTTTGATTGCTTTTTTTATAAAACGATTAGGACAAAGCAGGTGAGCATAATTCATCATTTAAAAACATTTTCCTACTATTTCTCATGTCTCGTGATTCACTAGTAGTGCAATTATGGTTTATGACCAACTCAGTATGTAGGGCCAACTCGTTGCTCATCGCATGTGTTTTAGTCATGGTCCATTTAGCCAAGGTAGCCCAATTTTATTTTTGAAAACTCAAATCCCTTTAGGAAAAATTACATCAATAATTTTTTTATTTTTTTTAGAAATCTTGTGATTTAAATAAGAGTTAATACCACGAAAAATCTTAAACTGGTACACTTGTGACAAATTTATTATAAACTAATTTTTTGACCATGAAAAACCCCAAAATGATACGCATGTGACAAATTTACCCTCTGTTAGTTTTTGTTAAATTTTACCGTCAAATTACTGAGTTTGATGACCCGTGGCAGTTGACGGATGTACCAGTTTAAAGTTTTACCCTCCGCTTTTTACAGGTGTACCAGTCTGTGATTTTTCGTAGTATTAATCCAATTTAACGGAAACTAATGGATGGTAAATTTATCACAAATATACCAGTTTGCGATTTTTGGTGGTCAAAAAATTAGTTTTAGGTAAATTTGTCACAAATGTACTAATTTGGGATTTTTTTATGGAATTAACCATTTTTATAAATACATTTTCTCTCCCTCAAAATCTTGCGGCTGATGTATATTTACTTTTATCTGGACGGGCAACACCTAAAACTTTCATACGGTATATACGTTGACACATAAGTTCATGGATAACATTTTTTTAATAGAATTTATAATTTGAGTAGGAAATCATTGTTTTTTGCTTTTTATAAAGCACAAACAAATTTTCTAACTTGCACAAACGCAGTTCATGGCCATAAATAAAGACAGAAAAACAGTTTATTTCACTTTTTTTCTCACAGCCCATCATGATCTATGACCGTGCGAATGTGGTTTGCGGCTCACCAGTTTACTGAGCCCAGCTCGTAGCTCCTCGATCACCTGTACCATGGTCGTAGTCCATTTAGCCTATTTAACTTGTTTTGAAACTCGAAGCTATTTAGGAAATTAATCTAGTTAATAAATCTATTTTCCAAAATCCTATGATTTCATCTTTGGGACGGATGGTTCTCTGCCTCAAACTCTAGCAGCCTCATTGAGCAGCAGGGTTGATGTTGATGCTATTCACTCACGATGACCACATCATCCAGCATATTCCAAAGTAGTACAAAAAGTGAGTAGTGGAATCGTATCCGGTTCTGTTTTTTTTCCCCTTCCTTTTGCAAAGTGAAAGAAAATACATTAATCAAACGGATTACAAAGTTACAGACGTTGCAGACCCACTATGCAACAGACAATACTTAAACAAGCGCAAAGCACAAGGACTGAACCATATTCATCTTGATATATCATTAGTCTAATAGAAGACACGTTCATGGCTTACAGGGGATGAAAAAACGGTACTGTGGCTTCCTGTGGTAAAAAAAGAAGAGCATCCGAGAACGTACGACTGATTCTGGGGTTTGGCGAGAAGGTTCTTCATTTATCAATGTTTGGGCTTAGAACCCTGTGATTTATATATGCTTTTTTGTACAATCTTTGGAGGAGATGAAGTATAAATTAGCATATTGTAGGCAATCGTCGGTTGAGAATGTGTCGGTTGTCTGTTCATACTTACTGTGTTTTAGATATGTCATAATACGGGTTGAAAAGCGATGGTGGATAAAAAGAAAAGGAAATTCGAAATGAGGAACATGCCTTCTTGACAAGAAAGAGGGTTTATTTGATTCTATCATAAAGATCATTGTGCTCCACAATAAGTAAATGAAAACTAGGTTGCGGATGACTTCACAAGCGTCTCCAATTACCTAGATCACCTTGTTGACATATCTTCAACTATTTATTAGAGATACATGGATCGTCTCTCTTGAGGCATCTTGACATTCTTAGACCTGCCTTGATTGAGGTGCCACGTATGTTGATGAAGAACGATTATCAGCCTTCTCATCTTGTATTTCTTTCAAGAGGCCAAGGACAAATTCTCTGTTCAGGATTTAAGAACCCAACATCGGTCAATATGAGACAGTAGCAAAAGGCAGCAACAATAAAATCCTCACGGACCTGGGATGCACACTGATGTATCTTTATAAACAGAGGGTCAACAAAATGCAACATCAGATTATCACAAATTCATTGTCTAAACCTCGGCTTAGAAAGCCAAGAAGGGCATAGAAATCAAGTTCTTCGCTGTCGCTATTGTTACCCCCGAATCCAAATTCTCATAAACCCCAGTCATTGACCACTAATGTTATGTCTACCCAGTAAAGCTCAGGTGGTGAAGAATCAAGAGAAACACTTTTGCTCGTTGGGATCTAAACAATTCAATTATGGTGAAAACAAGAAGTACTGGAAATGGCACGAAAAACCTATATACGGTAATCTAATACGCCTCTGGGATCTCATTGGTGAACAAAGATGTGCTGTACCTGTACAAGAACAGATTTAAGAATGAAGAAGAAGAAGAAGAAAATGATTACCCTGCCTCCTGAAGCATACTACAAGAGAACGGCTTTAGGTGATATTCGTGCATGGCCCCTGCTCGCGTGTTCCTAGTGAACACCGGGACTGATTGGGGCACCAATACATAGCTCGTTCTTTCAACTTCAAGTAATGATTGACGAGCACCTCCACAGCAGGCTTCCACTCCAAACCCTGTCGGCAAAGACTCCACAGCTCTATCGAAAGGTTTTCCATCTCGTGCTCTCTGCGCCAGAAACACAGGGGAGATGAAGTTCCTGAACTTCGGTTGGAGATTCGTTGGATACACACTTATTTGAGAAGGGATGGAAATATATACTCCACTCGCATTGAGTTGAAATCACGGCCGTTTTGTCAGACCCTTTGGTGGATTCCACCTCCTTTTCCTTTGTTGTCCTTATCTTCTTCTCCTTTTTTAATCTTTTTGCCTTCAACTTGATTCTGAAGTGCTCTCAACTTCATCCGGAAGTTGAGTTGATGGAGACCCAACTGCTGGTCCTACCAGGATGCTTCTAGTATTCGCTTTCTTTATTTGGGTCTTTTTTCTTTTTCTTCATCTTTATCTTTATCTTATGGGTAAAAACGAAGCAAGAACTTTCACTGAAGGTTACACCTCTTTTCTCATGGCTAGGAGAGGAGACGTTACACCTCCTAGCACTACTTTTTATAGCTAAACAAAAAGGTTCTTGATTTAACACTATCAGATACTAGTATCTTAGGTGCGGGGTTCAACTCTCGAGCTATGTAAAGAAGCGGAGCAAAAGTCTGAGAAAGAGAAGCGTTAGAGATAGGACAGGAAAAAAAAAAGGTTCTTGATATCATCTAGGGCGTGTTTGTACGTTTAAAATGCATTATTTAAAGCAAAAATAACAAAAATTATTATTTATTTTCTTGAGTTTGAACGAGATTTGTGAATTTTTTCTAGAGGACAAAATAAAGATTTAGTCATGACTTCTGTTGATGACTCTTCACAAAGTAAAAGAATCATGTTGGTTTGATGAAATACCAAAGACTGATGATTTTGTTACTTTTCCATGTATTATGTATGTTGGACTTGCAAGATTTTGAGAAGTGATCCTTGACTAGTGCGATTTTATTCCCTCTTAGAAACATGCATCTTGCTCAAGTAAAGATTTGGCCAACTGGTAAGCTCGGGGTCTTATTTGAAACTAAATTTGTTACTTCAAGGCCATATTTGAAATAAAATCCATTCTAGACCATCATTTGAAAAAAACAGTCCCACTTCAGGCATTTCTTTGAAAGTTTCCCAAAAATGATTGAGTAGGAGGGACAAGAGGTGAAATATCCGTACCAATATTAGTATCTAAAAGATCAAGATAATACGCAGAGTGAGAGGTCAAGTTAATAATACAAAGCTTATACACGATTGAGAATTTTCACTGGAACATGATAAAAAAACACTGAAACATTATAGAGTAGCAAAACACTGGCAATCCTTAGTAACAATTAATATCTACACCATAATCTCTTCCCATAGTATGACTTGCAATAAGGCCAGCAAGTGGCCATGCTGTTCTATACACGTGACGATAAGGCACGCCAGCCTGTGCTAGTTGAAGCTCCAGATATCAGAGAGATAAATAACGTCATCCCTTGGAGAACATGGCACATCATGTTCATCACTAGTTCCGTCAACAAGCCAATTATCATTGCACAGTGAGCTTTCCATTCCAAGCATGTCGGGCCGCCGAGGAACAGATGCATTGCAATCTGGTAAATCATAATCCAACGTAGTATGGTTGGAACTTTCGGGTTCAACAGTCACTGCTAGAGATGCCTGAGGGAGACAATGGAAAGAAAACAACATATTCAAGCTTTAGTCTTGCTTAATCATGTCAACCTAAACTGATATTTGCTTACCTGTGCGCTAATATCTTGTGCTCCTTCATTGTCAGAATTATTAACAATACTAGTAGGACTGGTTAGATTGGCCCTCGTACTCATAATTGCTGACCCCGATCCTGCTTTTTCACATTTCCTGTTTGTTATGCGACACAGGACAAATTCCATCTACAAAGGGAAAAAAATGTCGGAGCTGAGTTTTATGCTATGTCTGGAAGGTGAAAGAAAACGGAGGGAGTGAAATTTTGGGAGAGAAAATGGAAAGAAAGATAATATTTTTGTGAGAAATATGAAAAGGGAAATTTAGATTTTCAAGAGTTAGAACCGATATTAAGAAATGGATTGGTACGTTGCTTGACTTTATAATGTGTCACAAACAAAGAGTATCTATACCTGAAGAATATGTACAAGTAAGGAAGTAATCTTATCTAACAGTGAAATTAACTATCCTAGGAAATAACGAAAATTACAAAATTAATTACCAACTCGAAATGTTCTAACAATATTCTAAACATGCAAAATTTTCCGCCCACATTTTCCACACCTTGCATTTCCAAACAAAGCATTAGAGTTACAACAAAGACAAACGCCAAATATATCCTAAATTTATCGAATCTTGTGGCGTACACACTTTAATTTTTTATTTTTTTTTCAAATCTTAAAGCTTGAAACTTTCACAATATGCAAATGTTAGACATGCACATTAATATATATCTTCATTTCATAATTTATTCGAAATTTGAGTAACATTTTAGATTTTGGCGGAGAAGTAAAACAAAATACTTTTTAACTTTATATATGTTGCTATAAACAAATCTATTAAGGTAAAGGTTCTCTTATTTGTTCAAAAAATGGAAAAAGAATGAAAGAATATTAATGCTATGTTTAGTATGCAAGAGTGAACTGAAAATGGAATTCTTATTCCACTAGGGGTGAGGGGTTCCAATGTAGGTTCAAGTTCCACTTGGAAACCATGCCGGGACCGATTACCAATTTTTTGAACTGAAACCTACAATGTCAATCTTGGAACAGAACATGCAGTTCCAGGGTCGGTTCAGCACGTTCGGCTCCCGGTCTACCCCGGAACTGGCCAATTCCTTTTTTTTTCATTTATTTTATTCCTTTTTTCTTTACTTCATTTTTAGTCAAGCAAAATGAAAATTAAAGTAACAACAGAAATTCCCCTTTAGATAGATAGAGTTTCATTAACAAGAATACCTATCCCAAATAGAACTGTTTATAAGTGAAGTAATCTGTGAAACCTAACAATAGAAGTAGTATTATGTTGTTATGTAGAGTAAATAAAAGAGGTTGATTCAAGAGTAAACTAGAAACATGTGTAGAAGGGTAATGATTAGTAAATTTGAGGTTTCCAAATTGCATAGTATACTGGATTTCTCTTGCAATCAATTTACATATATGCTGCACGTGGATTCTAATGGGTGCATATATTCCACCTGTACCAGAGCAAGTTTAAAACTATTCCTAATAATGGACGAACATAATAAATAACATTACTAATGAAATAATGTTCTAAATTCTGAAAGTTTGATACTGCTAGTATGGAAATTGGTAAAAAGATCCACAGATACTACTAGTTTTAGGGTTACTCAGTTCTGTCCGGTTCTTGGTCCAGTTCTCCGATTCCCAATCCAGTTCTTTGGTTCTATGGTTCTCGGTTCGATTTTGTTTGGTTCTTACCTAGGAACTGGGAACTAGACCGCATAGTATTGGTTCCAAAAAGTTTGGAGTCGGGAACCGGACCAATTTTTAGGGTCAATCTGGACCGGTTCCTGGTTCTACCCGGGACCCATGCTAACCCATGCATTCCCCCTTCCATTCCTATTCTTGCATTTGGTGTCTTTCTAAAGGTTGGAATGGCATTCCCCCAATGGAATGCCTATTTCAACTTTTGAAGGAATGAGCATTCTTAAGTAGACCTATGGAATGCCCATATCATCCTTTCCCTTATTAAAATAATATTAATTTATTGAATTACTGAGCTGGAATAATTAAATATTAATTTTTTTATAATAAAAATTATGGTCCATTATTTTGTGCTATAAAAGTATATATTTTGTTAAATGCAAGTCTATTAATAAATCAAAAGTTTAATTACAGAAATTTCATTCCATTTCATTCTCACACAACCAACAAAAGAACCACAAATCCATTCCATAACAATAATTTTTTTATTATAACCAAACAAAGAAATCGAAACCCATTCCATCCTATTCGATTTCGTTTACATTCTATCTCCTCATTCCAATCCATTCCTTTCGATTGTACCAAATGCAACAAAAAAAGTTTCCATGCACACGGCAGAGTGTGGCTCCATGGAAAAATTATTAGGCACATTTATAATAAATTTTTTTGTGTGGATCCATCGTTATAGTTTTTTTTCTAAAAATGATGGCTGTGATTGCTTATAGAGTACCAAAAAGTTTAATTAAGAAGTACCCTGGATTGCTCTGCTGGACAACCCACACCGGGGGAAAAGTCCCTAAACATGCACTAAAAAAGCCAGAAAACGAAGACAATAGAAATAATAGGGCAATAATCCACAAGAAGCATAATGAGGAGTATATGTAGCATGACAAGGAAGGCATATGCACATACTCATACATCTATTTGCTTTGATAGAACAAATGGAAAATGCACATTGCTTGAAAGTGATCATTTCAATATTAGCTGGATTATGTTAGAGATGCTCATTGAGAGGAAGCAAAAAGAAGAGAAATCGAGTACCGGGCGGGGAATTTCACTATTCGAAACATTCGAATTTAGGTAATATTCGTGCATCACGAAGTCCGTCCTGCGGGCATCCCCTTTTCGACCTTCGTAGTAAACCAAGATCCTCTTGAACCCTATCTCCTCCCCGGTACCCGGTGCTCGTACTACACGTTTCTTACTTGTATCTTTCCAAAATCCAAACTCCGTACGAAGGCTATTCGGGATCTTATTATCCCTGAGGCAGAAGAAGAAACACTCGTGTTCATCCGACGGTATCCTTGACAGGGCTATACAAAAAACAAATGGTGAAGTGTCGATTCACCGAGTCTTAGAAGCAACCACCATAGAGAACACTAAGGAAAGAGTAAATCTGTTCAATATGAACTACAAAGTTACCATTGTATCTGGCAAATAGATCCGGAGGCTCCCACTTGTAGATATATAGCTCTGGTATTAAGCAGATAGTTTCCGTTTCTCCTCTTAGCTTTCTTCGGAAGTGCTGATCAACAAGTTGGTCCTCCCTCGGCTTGAATCTGAGTCCCACCGGCCACGTCTCCGTCAAGTCTTCCATGCTTTCCTGTCACAAATCAAATTCTGCTACAGAGAAAGAGAAGAAAAGAGTAGTAGAGAATGGGACTAGTGAAATAAGTAGAGGAAGCAGAAGCTCACTCCTGGCTTGACTTTGTTTTAGACTGTTGACTCCAAACAGGTAATTTTCTTTAGCCTTTTCAAGAAGGCAAACTACTGTTGAGTGGATGCTACCATAAGCTCAAAGACACTGCCGTTTTCACCAAGAACAGCATCTTCGAAGGTCATGATAAGAAGTTGCTTGAGCGTTTCCTCAGTGAAGAATCTAGACTTTTGTTGTCAATGCATACTTTGAGCGATGACGTGGAAAGTGAAAGATTTGAAAAGATTCTTGTTAGGACGATTCCCAAAGCAAAAGTTATTCTCCTATATATTTTCATAGTGTATCTTCCGGATGAGTTTATAAGTTTGGAAAATGAAGTTTCCTCATACTTTCGGCAAAATTGATGTTCTTCATTAAAAAAGCTAAGGTTCTTATTGGATCCTTTATCCAAATGTATTATATAATCGATGTGGGATGTGAAATAAAGGTAAAAGTTAAATTACATGACTAATTTTTAAGTCACCCAGATATGGTGAGGAGGCCCTCGCTTGGGAAAGCCTCACTCTCTCCAGATTTGGGCGAGGGGTGGCTGGCGAGAGCGACCCTGCTGGCCTTCACGACTGGCTATAGGCGAAAGGAAGAGGAAAAGGCTAATAATTTTAGAAAATTAAAAGAATTTGTTAAAATCTTCCATGTTAGCAATAGTGTTACCACGTAGAACAGACGTCGTCCATGTTGACCGGAAATATTGAATTGGAAAATTGTCAAAAAAGTTTATGACTAAATTGACACAATTGAAATGTTTAAGACTAAATTGGCCACTGTACAAAATAAAAAAAAAATGGCAACCGTACAATCGGTTTAGAACTTTTTGGACAATTTTCACTCTTTCTAATGATTATTGCAATCAATTTTGTTCATCGTGAGTGGGATTTGATAATTTACTAAAAGTTTGTTTGTTGGTATTTACGAAAATATAAATTAACTACTTTTTACTTTACTTTCAAAATTTAAAATATTATCTACATTATAAAATTTTCAAAAAAAAACTTCTATATGAATCTACTTGTCAGCATTTACAAATCGTGAAAGTTTCTGTTGTTTTTTTTTTTGATTGAAAGAAAAGAATCTAATGTGCACTTTTTAAGATTTGAAAAATAAGTTAAAGTTAAAGCTTGTCACGTTGTTTGTTTCAGCATTTGTCACCTTGTCTAATAGGTATTGTTCAATGGAACACATTTTTCAAAAAAAAAATATTTACCAATTTAGTCCTAAACCTATTGTACACATTTCAATATAATCCTAAATATTTCAATTTTGCCAATATAGTTTAAACCTTTACTTAAAATTTCGATGTAGTCCTTTCGGACATTTTCACCCGAAAGTGTTGACATGACAGCTAATCGGCTATCATATGTGGCACGCTAGTGATATGAAGTGGACAAATTTACTCAAAACGAGGTCATTTTGTTTATTTTTTCAGAAACTTTCCAAATTTCTTTTATTTTTCTTTTCTTGATGTTACTGTTCATCTTCTTCCTCGAGTTTCCTTGTTATCATCCGTCCTGCCATTGTCGCCGTCTCCACCTCCGCCACCAAGTCCTGCATCTCCTCGTTACTTGACTTCAACCGTCGCCACCCCTTATACAGCAAGTTGCTCCTAGATTTGGATGGCTCGATCTCCGTCCTCACCGAATTTGATCAAGAACTTCTCCTAACCTGAGGAAGCAGAGGACTTTGTAGCCTACTCTCTTCAATGTACTGCAGTATCGCAGCGGACTCTGCAACCGGCCTCCCTCTGTGGCTGAGCACAGGCATGTTCTTGTGATTGCACCCGCTCTTATCGCCTTGAGCTTGAGCGCCCATATTACTCTGTAGCTGAAGGGACTAGGCCAAGCTCTTAGAAGCTTCACTCCATCCATAAATGTTAACTCATCGAAACGATTTCATTGTTTTTTCCGAGTCTAAGCAAAACGATGACCATAAAGCCCAGAATCGCAACCGCGACCAAGCTCGAGCCATCCAGATCTTGGGGCAACTCGTCGTATTGGGTGTGGAGGGCGTTGAAGTCGAGCGGTGGGAGATGCAGAGCCTGGCGGCGATGGCAGATGAACAGTAACTAGGAAACTTAAGGAAGAAGATGAACAGTAAGGAAAGAAAAGAAACAAAAGAAGGAAATGAAAAAAAATCTGGAAAAGTGAAAAAGAATGTAAACCCACATCGTTTTGAATGAATTTGTCTATATTTTCGGATTGCCGGTGTATAGTGTAAGACTGTCCTTCTATTCATCAGATTTTTGGCTTTGACGCGGCTGGCTATGATTGAATCTTTACATTAACAATTTCAAATGAAAATTGACCGAAAGTTGGTAGATTTGACATCAAGATAGTGAAATTTGGGTTTGTATATTGTCCTAAATACTAAGCTTTTAATGAATACCGATAACTTTCCACAGATCGTATATTAGACTAGATTATGATGTTGATGTTAGAAGAGGACTGACAAATGTTAAAACAAAATTAGTATAGGGTTAATATCATGAAAAACTCAAAACTAGTACACTTATGATAAATTTACTTCGAACTAATTTTTTAATCACCAAAAACCCCAAACCGATACACTTACGACAATTTTACCCTCCGTAAAATTAGATTAATATCACGAAAAATCATAAATTGGTAAACCTATAGCAAACGGATGGATAAAACCCGAAACCAGTATACCCATCAATTGTTATGTGTCATCCAACTCAGTAATTTGACGGTAAAATTTAACGGAAACTAATGGAGGATAAATTTGTTACGGTGTATTAGTTTGTCGTTTTTTGTTATCAAAAAATTAGTTTTGAATAAATTTGTCACAAATGTACTAGTTTGGTTTTTTGAAGTATTAACCCACTAGTATATTCATAATTTACTAGTAATTACTACTCAAACAGGGACGGACCGTGAAGATTTCACTAGTAGGTGTAGCAATATAAGAGCTAAAAATACAGTTACTACTATGTATTATCAAGCATTTCTCGTGATTCTATATAAAATCGTAAAAATACAACAAAACTAAAGCTTGACTTGAAAATTATCATTTGTCTAATAAAAATAGAATAAAAACTAAGGCATTACCCGAGTTGTATCATCAAGCATTATAATTAGGCGAAGTTATTTTAAGGATATTATTAGGAAATTTAAAGTTACAATAAGTAGTGTCCACTCCCATAACAAGAACAATTAGGCGTGCAATTTCTAGTTTCATATCACAATTATGTCGTGCCATGATCATTTTATGTCAGATTCATGCTGAGCACAGTTTGATCACAACTCTTGTCGTGAATTTTAAATTTGACCAAGACTTGATTATCAAGCACGTTGGAAGAAACAACATGGTTAACACAATTTTAAAAAAAAAAATTACAAGCTCTCTTGCATAGACATGTCAAATTTGTTCAGAAGTATCTAAACATGTTTAAATTCATTTAAACACATCGTGCTAAATGGTTTAACGTTTATATTGCTATTATTTACATGTGTCTAAAGCGTGTTGAAAAAAGATTAAAGAGTTAATGTGCATGCAACACGTTTATTAATCGTATATAACTCAGATTAATTAAGCTCAACTCAAACGCACTCGATACATGATCTCTGTCGGATGCAGTAGGACACTACAAAGACTAATTATCATTTGAACAGGAAATTAATTTTTCTGATTTTATGTTGGAGAATAAAAGCTCTAGTCGTAGCATTTCTATTTCTTTCATTTCTCAAAGCCTCTTGCTCATATCACTCATCAAAGAGTGAAATGATTTTTCATCGAATGACCCTTCATCTATTGTATTTTCACGTAAATAGCAACAAGAAAGTTCAATGAAAAAATGGTGGTTCAATTCGATGTTGTACATGGGAAAATGTGAAGATAGGTGTGGGCAAAATACACCTTATGCACCCGTTTGTAACTTTCTTTTCAACTCTTCCCACCTCCCAATCGAGACAAGCTACCTTATTTGTCACGCCCCGAACCCCTACGGCACGCGACACCGCCTCTAGTCGATTCAAGCGACGTCCCAGAATATCGGCCTCAAAACCCCATCGGCGATTTACTACCACGGATATCAACAATTAAATCCGGACAATTAAAACTAGGGAGAAAAATCAGGGAGAATATACATATCTTTTTCATTTCCTTCTTATACCATAATATTTACATTTATATCGCCTTTCTCAAAAACCGATACTCAAGGATGAAAAGTTGGGTTTACTACTACTCCAAAAATGGTGCTCGCCAAAAACCCACTCGAGTCGATTCCTTGTCCTCCGAGTCCGAGTCCCTTTATACCGTCCCATCCACCGAGGACTCCAAAACGTTCGGTGGCGGTGGCGGGAGATTCATGGGTCCTGTCGGGGTTCGAAATTGTTGGTTAAAACAACCGTGAGAACACTTCTCGGTAAGTTCACCCCTAAACCCAACCTAGGCTAGGCTAGCATGCAATCTCCGATTGGAAACAATTATTCAAATCACAATACCACAATAGTCGAGACAATTATCGACCCCTGCAGTTAGTGCAGATCAACATACAATAGTCACGGCACATGCGTGGCACGCATAATCACACGTATGTCAATCACACGTTCATGCACCGATTCTCATACATTCGCATGCCGTGCCTATGCATGTTCCATGCATGCAAATGTCGTCTACATGTCATACGCATTCTCCGTCCAGCCCACCCCATAATCGGCAATTTCCCAATTTATTATTAATTACGACTCGAGTCACATTATTACGGCCCGTCACCAGCATCACTTTTCAAAGTGCATGCACGCGCAAGCCGATCCGCTCATGTCTCTAGCACTCTTCCAAAGTGCATGAGCGCGCAACACGCATCTCCTTACGACCAACGGCTCTTCAAAGTGCATGAGGATGGTCGTCTTCGGACGTACGGGCATCGTCACCTGCTTCAAAGTGCATGAGGACGGTATCGACCCGAAGGTCACGACCCGAAGGTCCTGGTGATCACACAACTTATTATTATCGCCCCGTATAACGCATTAGGCATTTTAGGTGATCACATGTTCATGGCGGACACGCATTCTCACACAATTTCATCATCACATGTCACTCGGGGACAGCATCGTCCCGCGTAAACGTACACGCCCGGGACGGATCCTTTCCAACCAATCCCACATTTCTGTATCCTC